CACACCACACACACCACACACACCACACACACCACACACACCACACACACCACACACCCACACACCCACACACCCACACACCCACACACCCACACCCACACACCCACACACCCACACACCCACACACCCACACACCCACACACCCACACACCCACACACCCACACACCCACACACCCACACACCCACACGCACACGCACACGCACACACACACATGTTTATGTTTGTGTTCCCTCTCTTAGAGACAGGGGGTCGGCCAGAGCGCCTGGTCTTGCAGGGTCCTGCCCGGCGGCGAGCGAGTGGGGGGCGCGAGAGGGAGGGGGCCTTTCTCAGAAGGCGGCGGGACTTCTCAGAGGCCCTCGCGCCGCCTGAGAGGCTGTCCGTGGTGCCCTCGGGGGTCACTTCCAGAAGTTCTCAGGAGGCCTGTGGCCTCCCGAGCCCTCTGAGAAGGCCCGCCCCTGCTTCGGAGACTGGAACATCTGCTCCAGATTTCGAAAGGAGGAGGAGGAGGAGGAGGAGGAGGAGGAGGAGGAGGAGACCTTCACCAGTACAGAGCTCCAGTTTCCAGTGTTAGACTTCTGTCGGCCAGCGTGGGCCCCAGACAGTGTGTTCTGGCATGAGGTGCAGTGTCAGAAGCACTCCAGATTTCGTAATACAAGGGAGGGGGCCTGGACCCTCCAGGACAAGCCATTTCAGACCTCCCCCGTGGGAGAACCCTCCCAAACGTCGTCCCCAGACCCCCCCAGGCCCTCCAAGATGGCCTGGAGGAGCCCCCCCCCGGAATGAGACCCCCCTCCCTTTATTACGAAATCTGGAGTACACTACCTGTGGCGGGTTGTTTTTTCAATCCCACGACACTTGGAGCGTCGGGGACGACCTCGGGGTGGTGTGGTGTATACCTTTCCCCCGTTTTCCGATGGAAGCGACGAAAGATGTGTACACCAGGACCCCGCATACGCCAGGATCTGCGTTCCCGTGCGAATCTCAGCGCAGGGTCGGAAACAGCGTCGGTGTATAGAGTTCGCTTCCCTGCCTCTCACGCCCCCTCGGGGCTCGCCGCCGACCTGCCGGGCCAGGGGCGCAGCGACCCGGGCCAGTGCGCAGGACTTTGGAGGATCTTGCAGGATCTTGCGGGACCCTGCCACGCCCGACGGGCCCCGGCTTGGACTGGTTCGGGTCTGTGCGCTCCGGGCCTGTTGTTGAGCTCCTCGTTTCTCACCAGGCGCGCTTCACTACCCGCAAGGTGCCCACTCGCAATCGCCCGAAAGAACACATGCCTGCCTCGATGGCATTTCTCGTGGGTCCCCCGGCGGCGGATCCGGGCGATTTGCGAGCAGCTGCTCTGCGAGTAGTGGAACGCGCTCAATCTCATCTCCAGATCGGTACGGTCGACATGCGTGCGGAGAGAGTGGGTGCCGGGGCCCGACGGCTGATCTTCAGGAGGAAAAGAAACACACAGACACAATGAATCTTCGATCTCCCAGAAAATATGGGAAAATATGGGAATCGGGCGGGAAGACAAAAACCCAGAAAATCTAGTAAAATATGGGAATCTTTTTATTTGTGTGTATTTATTTGTGTGTCCCAGGGCCCCTTCACTCATTTTGAGCAGGCTTTGCTGTCGGTGCCGCCGCGGGCCCTGTGGCCAAGTGAGAGGCAGGAGGCCGCCCGCCCGGCAGCGGTCGCCGTCGCCTTTGGGCAGCACTTGCCCAGAGCCCCGAGCCATCGGGGCCGGGGGCTGCCAGGGGGCAGCTACCGATTCGCGCCTCGGGGGCCCAAACTGCAGTTACCGTCGGGGCCCTGAAGAAGGAACCCTTTTCGTTGGGGAGGGGCTCCGCGCTCCTTGAGTGTTTCACAGCTTGCCTCAGGCTTTCCTTAGGTTTTCGATGCGAAATCGAAGTTTAACTTATGGAAAACAGGGGCCTCGTTCCTTATTTAGGGTTCCTTAGTTCAACGCCCCGTCTGTACCCCGGACCGCAGCTATCCTGGAGAAGTCGGGCGCCCGGCCTTCCCCCAATGCATCAGGGCTGGCGGCACTCAGGGGGCAGCTCCAGATGGCGCCTCGGGGGCCCGAGCCGGGCTCACCCTGGACCGCAGCTGACCTGGATAGCTCGGGCGTCCAAACATGTTGCTGGGCATCGTGCCCGTTGTGTCCGTGCCCGTCTCTGGGGAGACGACCAAAAAAGGTACCGATGCCGTCATTCCCCGGCCCTCTCCCGGGGCGCGTTCTGACCATACTTTCAAGGCGGATCCAGCGGTGGCGACGGGGGCCTCCCAGGAGGCTCGAAAAGGGGAAAGCGAGAGCGTAGCGGTATGGGCACCTTTTCCTCGTCCGAGCGTCGGGCGTCCACGTTCGAGGAGCCCCCCTCCCTCTCCTCCCACCCTCCGCTTGCTGCCCGCTCCAGGCTGCTCCGGGCCTACGCCGAGCTCGACGACCGCGTGCGCGACCTGGGGGTGCTGCTGAAGCGCTGGGCGACGCGCCGCGACCTTGCGGGCGCGGCGCACGGGCGGGCGCCCCAGCCTGCGCGCGCGCGAGTGGGCTTCTCGCCCTCCCGCCTCCCTCGCGCTGCCCTCTCCCCCCCGGTCGAGGAACGACGGGCGCGGGGGGAGGAGGAGGAGGAGGAGGAGGAGGAGAGGAGGAGGAGAGGGAGGAGAGGAGGAGGAGGGAGGAGGAGGAGGAGGAGGAGGAGGAGGAGGAGGGAGGGAGGAGGAGGAGGAGGAGGAGAGGAGGAGAGGAGGAGGAGAGAGCGAGGAGGAGGAGAGGAGGAGGAGGGGGAGAGGAGGAGAGGAGGAGGAGGGAGGAGGAGGTCGAGGACCCCCTCTTCCCCTTGTACAGTCGTTTCCTTCTTACTTTTTTGTTGCATGTGAGTGCGGTCGTACCCTTCACGGTCGTGGGCGCGCCCCTCCCCCCCGTCCTCGCCCTCCCGCCCCTCCTCTCGGGGGAGCGTAAGACCCGTGTTTGCCAGGACTCGGGTTCGCCATCGTTTTTTTGACGACCGCGATTCGGATTTTGACGAGTAGGAGTTTCGTGGGATGTTTGCAGCGGGAGGCCTCGTCAAAACGCAGGCTCGGCCTCGCCATTTTCTTGACGACCTCGTCGGGGATTTCCGAGTCCCCTGTACCCGGGTCTTACGCCCTCCCGCCCCTCCTCTCCCCTTCCTCGAGGTAGGCCCCAGCCTTTTCGGAGCGGACCCTCCTGCTCGCGCTCGGCGCCTGCAGGAGGCGCAGCGGCCCGTGCCTGCTCCACCCCCTCCCCTTGAAGACCGCTCCCCCCTCCTCCCCCCCCTCCTCCCGCCGCCCCCCCCTCCTCGAGGCCGATCCCCCCTGCCTCATCAAGGCCCCCCTGCCCCTTCCCCGCCCTCCCTCCCTGGAGGGGGGCGGGGTCTCCGCTTCTCGTCCCTCCCCCTCCAAGGGCCTGCGGTTGGCGCTAAGGTGTAGCGCGTGCCACGCAGCGCTCGAGCCTAGGTACCTTGATTCTAGGGCCCATCCATGCGCAGTTGTGAGTGTCGTTCCCGGCGGGGCTCCTTAGGGGGCCACGAAGCGTGTGAGGGGCGTGCCGAAATTGGCACGCGGTGGGGAGCCGAGCGCGAGCTCTGCCACAGAGTGGAGCTCCCGATGGGGCCACGAAACGTGCGAAGGGTGTGCCGACATGGGCATGCGGTGGGCGGGGGGGTCCCGTGTGCAGCTTGCCACTGGGCCTTCGGGGGAGCGTCCTGCGGGGCCACGATGCGTGCCATGGGGGGTATACGTAGTGGTTGGCGTGCGGGGGGCAGAGGCAAGGGTTGGAGGAGGGAGGCCCTCCTGACTTAGGTCCCCTCCCAAGGGGGTTAGGGGCACCTGCACTGCTTCTCACTTCTGTGACGTACCCAACAACACACACCCATACCCATAGAGGGGTCGGAGAGGGCTATGGGTGCGTGCTGTCGGACGGGGGTCCCCGCCCGAACGGGAGCGTTCCCCCGGGTCCGACAACCCGCACCCATACCCATAGCCAGTCCTCCTCCCAACGACCCCCCTCTGGGTGTGGGTGTGTGCTGCTCGTTCGTCACTCTGTCCGCACGCATGTCGACCGTACCGATCTGGAGATGAGACGAGCGCGTTCCACTACTAGCAGAGCAGCTGCTCGCAAGTCGCCCGGATCCGCCGCCGGGGGGCCCACGACCCCCCTTTGGGTGTGGGTGTGTGCTGCTCGTTCGTCACTCCTGTGCGAACTCGGGGGGCACCGCCGTTGCGTGGCGCGGCTCGGGGGCTGCGCCGCTGGCCCGGAGGGCACGGTGCGCCTGGAGGGGGTCCGGGGGGCGCCTCTCAGAGGCAACGCTGGGCGGGGATGGGTTCGCTCCTCCTCCTCCTCCTCCTCCTCCTCCCTCCTCCTCCTCCTCCTCCTCCTCCTCCTCTTCCTCCTCCTCCTGCTCCTTCTCCTCCTCCTCCTCCTCCTCCTCCTCCTCCTCCTCCGCCTCCTCGTCCTCCTCGCTCCTGAGCTCCTGAGCTCCTGGGCGCCCGTGCCCGTGGAGCGGCAGTGGCGCCCGCAGCCCAGGTGGCAGAAGGCGTGGCGCCCAGGTGTCCGAAGGCGCGCTGGTGGTCGACAGCGCACCGGTGGGTCATCCTCCTCCTCGTACTCCTTGTTTCGTGGGTGGACAGACCTCCTACCCCGACGCGTCGATTAGCGAATTGACAGTTTTCGGATCGCGAGAGGGCGTCGCGGCCGTCATTTTTGCGGGTCCAGGTCCGTCGGTTTCGGCCCCAGGCCGTTTTCACTAAGGAGAGGTTTACTAAAGTGAGGTTTGTCCACCGCCGATTGTTCAGGGGCAACGATAGGGGGGATGGGCAGATAGGCATAGGGGGGGATGTATCGACCCCCAGACGCCCGTTTATCGCCGAGAGGGGCCCGATGGCCCCAACCTGCCCAGGACGGTGCGGATTCACGATCGGAGGCCCATCGCCGATGTATCGGCGCGATGGATCGCCGATTCAAGCTCGATGCATCCCCCCTATGCCAGCCCCCCCTGTCGTTGCCCCTCGGGTTCCGTGGCCAGGTCGGAGACTGCGGGGCCAGGAGGCTCGGGCAGGGGCGGCACGGAGGTGGCTCCAGCGGGTGCGGCGCGGCCTCTGCCGCGGCCCGCGCGTGCTCAGGCATCTGTCGTCGTATGCCTGGGTCCTGCTGGCCCTGTACTACCTGCAGGCTGCTGCGGGGCGTTCTCGCCACCCTTTTTGTTTCTTATCTAGGGGGCTAGGGGACCAAAACAATGACAACAAGCATAAGACTCAAAGGTTTCCTCGCGGATTCCTCGGATCGGCGCCAGACCCTCCCTCCGTCGCGCGCGGAGCGCGCCGGGGGCGGCGCCGGAGGCGCCGCCAGGGGGGCTCCAGCGCCGACCCGGAAATCCGTGCTATGTTATTGGCTTGCCCCCTCTTATCTCCCTTCCACCTTCCCCCCGTCAGCCACAGTGCATACAGTGGGCGGCTTGAATAAGGAACACTTACTTTTCAAAAGGGGCTCAGTCGTTCCTTGGGCTTGCATGCGTTATTTCCAGTTCCTTATGCGTTATTTGTTATTTATCGTTCCTCTATGCGTTATTCCTTGGGATAAAAAAGGGGCTCCGTTCCTTATTTATCGTTCCTTAGGTCAGGCCGATGACTGTACCACGACAGAGCAGTGCCATCGCCACCGCTAGCTGGTGGCCCTGTCATTTCCGCCCATCCTTGCTCGAAGGCAACACCGACTCGCGTGTTTTGCACGTACGTCTTACTGTGTGATCACGAGCAAGCATGTGCAAGGTGGTTTGAAGCACGCTTGGTTTGCACGGGCGAAGTGCTTGGCAACATGATCGGGAATGTTTGCAACGCTACTTGCACATTTCGGTGCAATATGTGTGGCCTCGCAGGCAACATTGGTTGTTGGACAGCAATGCCCGCGACATGCAATCTTGATACATGCGGGTAGGTCAGCCATCGTGTGCGCACGCTCTACGTGGGGACCCTGATGTTCCTAGCGGGATGTGCATGCACCTACGGTTGCACGCCAGTTTATGTGTACCTTCGTTAGCCAGTGCCCCATATGTGGCCATGGGCAGAAGGCGGGCGGGGGGAGAGGGGGAGGCGTCTTAGAGACACCCCTGCTTCTCTGAAGGCGCAGGCCTGATCTAACGATGTGGGGCTGGCGCCTTCTAGGAAGCAGCCTCCCTCTAAGAAGCCGTCTCTCCTTCCCCCTCCCCCCTTGTTCGCCCCACCAGCATGTGCTGTGCACTGGCTCCCTCTAGGCACCCTGCCCTGCAGCACGAGGGGCCCCACGCCGCGCGCACGCATGCACACGTTTGCACGGGGGTCGTTCGGCTGATGTTTGGATCATGAGAACAAGGCTTGGTCGTGCGCGTGGAGTCCTGACGGGTGGTAGTAACGGCAGAAGCGTGCTCGTCAACGTTGCGCTGTTTGGAGCTATCAGCAATGTACATTTCAGCGTGTCGTGTTTCCAGCTCCAGATCACAGGATGGCATTGCAGCTGGTACGACGGTTGAGAACGACTTGACCTTGAAACTGTCCTCGCTTGGGATTCACACCTTCGTGGGCCCCGCGGCTAATCGGCGAGGGGGCTCACATTCTTGCCCCGCGCTCTTCGTGGCCGTGCTTCCACTGCGCTCGGCCGACCGTCTCGGGCCGGGAGGGACGAGCGGATTGCTCGCGCAGGCACGGTCGGCCCAGGTCGAGCGAGGGCGGTTGCGCTGTCGGCTCGGGCCGGCGCCGGCCGCGCTCCGCCGCACCTTTGCCTCCCCCGTGGGGCGCTCCTGCTCCCCGTCCTGCTGACGCTCCCCCACCCCGCCCCTCCACAGGGGAGGGCTCCTCCTCCTCCTCCTCCTCCTCCTCCTCCTCCTCCTCCTCCTCCTCCTCCTCCTCCTCCTCCTCCTCCTGCCGAGAGTGCGCTGGCCCTCAGAGGAGGGAGAGGCGCCCACACCGCTGCCCTTCCCCCGCTTTCTTCTTTTTGGGGGCCTTCTGGGAGGCCCGCGTCGCCACCGCTGGCCTCGCCTCGAGATCCTGGTCAGGGCCCGCCTGTAGGGCCGGGAGGGGCACGAGTCCTTGTAAATAGTATGGTTTTGGGAAACCATCCTCGCTCAGGCGGGGCCCCCCCTACAGGGCTGGGAGGGGCACCAAACCTTGTAAATAGTATGGTTTGGGGATGCCTTCCTCGCTCAGGCGGGGCCTCCTTGGAGGGCTGGGAGGGGCACGAAACCTGATAACTAGTATGGTTCGGCAGGTATGGTATATCATAGTACGTATGGTATGGTAGGGGACGGCAGGTAGTACGATAGGTATGGTATGGCAGGCACGGTATAGTATAGTACGTATGTTATGGTAGGGTGTGGTATGGTATAGTGTAGTACGTACTAGTATAGTACGTATGGTATTGGTAGGGTATGGCAGGTACGGTGTGGTATAGGTGAAGGAAAAGGAGAAGGAGAAGGAAAGGATGGTCTAGGAAATCACGAACTTTCAAGTGGCTGTCTTTTGAATCAACAACCATGTTTGCCAGCGCGCCTCAGCGTCTGACAATAGCACAAGAAAACATGTTTTTTTTCTTTTCATAACTGCGAAATCATGCGCGCCCAGTAGGGCGGACATATTGGCAAGAGATCGATTGTGAATTTCTTGGTTTCTTGCCAATACCAGTGGATCTCAATGTGTGTTTGGCCTCACAAAGAACTTTAGTGTCCTCGCGCCTCACCGTTTGGCAGTCGCAGAACCGTATGTGTTCGCATTCGCCGGCGCATGCGTGCCCAGGAGGGCGGCACTGTGGAAACGACATCGACGGTAACCTTTCTAGCCAGCAAGCGTGCATTTCAAGCTGCTGTGTCTTGTATAATAGACCATGGCTGCCCTCGCGAAGCATCGCCTGACAAGTATGCAGACCGTATGTTCTCTCAACTGCGAGCATGCGCGCCCAGAGGAGAGCGGAAATGTGCCCAAGAAGTCGATTGCAGCATTCGAGTTCACTACAGTCAAAAACCCGAATAACGACGCGCGACCTTGCTCAGGGTACCCTTGCGTCCTTGCTCTTCCTTGCTCTTGCGTCCTTGAGGTTTTCGTCGTCCGCCGCCCCAGAAATCCCAACTTCGGCTTCCAAGGGTCTTGCGTCCTTACCTCGCGTCCTTATTAGGGTGTTTGACTGTACGTGTGGATGCCGAATTGTTGTTTTCGGGCTCACAGACATCTTTCGTCCTCGTGCTTCATCGTCTGGCAGTTGCAGAACCGCATGTTTCCGCACTCGCTGGAGCATGCGTACCCAGGAGGGCAGAAGTGTGGCAGAGAACTCGTCTGTAAAATTCTAGCCATTGCGTGTGGATTCCATTTGTTTGTTGTTTTGCCTCATAGGCCATGTTTACCCTCGCGCCCCATGGTCTGACAATCGCAAAACCGCATGTTTGCGCAATTGCGGGATCATGCGTACCCAGGAGGGCGGAACGTGCACAAAACATCGTTGGCTGACTTCTGGCCAGCGCATGCGGATTTCAATTGTATTTTTGGCATCGTAAACAAAGCGCGCATTCGATTCACAAGATTTCAGAACGCTCGGGCGCCTGGGAGCCTCTGCAAAGCGCTCGGTCGGGCGCCCGGAAGCCTCTGCAAAGCGCCCAAGCGTTCAGAAGCCCCTGCAAGAGCGCTCAGGCGCTCAGAAGCCTCTGCAGAGCGCTCAGGCGCTCAGAAGCCTCTACAAAGCGCTCGGGCGCTCAGAAGATTCTGCAGAGCGCTCAGGCGCTCATTAGCCTCTTCGGAACGCTCAGGCGCTCAGCAGACTCTGCAGAGCGCTCATGCGCCCAGAAGACTCTGCAGAGCGCTTAGGCGTTCAGAGGTCTCTGCGAAGCGCTCAGGCGCTCAGATGACTCTGCATAGCATTCAGGCGCTCAGAAGTTTCGTTGTAAAGTGGCCGTTGCAAAGAGTCCCGTCTGGGTTGTAATGTGGTCGTTCTGGTTGTACAGTGGGCTGTTTGGTTGTAAAGTGGTCGTTCTCAAAGGAAAACCAGGGAATTCGATTTCATGCTGGTTGTAAAGTGACCTATCTCGGTTGTAAAATGTCGTTCAGGTTGTAAAGAGACCGAATCTCGGGGGGAGGCTGGGCCAGAGGGAGCATCGACCCCCATTCATCGCCATTCGGGGCCTGGGCCCCCCCGTCCCGCCTACGGACGTGCGGTTTGGCACATTATCTGGAGCCCATCGCTAACATGTCGGCGATGAATCGCCGATTCCCCTGACCATCCGATGCCCTCAGAAATCTAAAGAAACGTTAATGTTATGTTTCTGAGGGCGCACAAAAGGAAAGATAAGGGGCATTCCCCTTAGAATCGAGTGGAAATCTAAGTGCAGAACCTATTGGCGCTATGGGCAATGCACATAGTGTGTTTGGTAGATTTTTGGTAGATTTTGGTGTCTACCAAAAATCTACCAAAAATCTACCAACGCGTTTGGGCCCCACCCATAAGGCCCTAACCTTAGGGTTCCACCCATATGATCCCAACCACAAGGTTCCGCCCATGAGGCCTTGCCCATAGGACCCCGCCCATAGGGTACCACCTAAGCGGTCGCACCCACGATACGAACTCACAAACATGGCGCTCCAGGCGTGGGGCGCGCGGTGTTTCTACCCCTTGCCATTGCCTCTCGCAGAGGCCCCTCGGAAACGACCCTTCGGAAGAGCGGTTGCAACCCGTGTGCATACATACATCTATACATATATACACACATATATATATATACACACATATATACAAGTGGCACGTGTGTGCCCAGGCTCATACAACAAGCTGAAGGGGCGTTTGAAGCAGGAGTGACATGCAACAGCGAAGTCGCACTCGAGCGCAAACGAGGTTGCCACACCTTGCGATGTGTGTACCAGGGCCCCCCAGGAAGCCTCAGGAGGCCCGACTTGGATACCAGAAGAGGCTCCAGGAGGCCCCAGGATTGTGAATGTTGTGTATGTGTGTGTGTGTGTGTGTGTGTGTGTGTGCGTGTGTGATGTGTGCTTTGTGTGGTGCGTGTTTTTTGTGTGTTGTCGGTGGTGCGTGTATGTTATGTTTGTCTAGCGTGTGATGTGTTGGGCGTGATTTGTGTCTCTGTGTGTGCATGTAGTTCTGAAGCCCCAGGAGGCCCCAGGAGGCCCCAGGCGGCCTCAGCAGGCCCAGGTGAACTCCAGGAGGCTCCGAGGCG